TCTCTCTCTCTCTCTCTCTCTTCGAAGTGGGGAGCACAGGGCTCTCACTCTCTCTCTTCTTCTTCCCCAGGGCATAGTGAAAGTCTATGAGTTACACTCGCCCTCCCTCCCTCTCTCTCTCTCTCTCTCTCTCTCTCTCTCTCTCTCTCGAAAGAACGAGGCACATAGCAAACGCTCGTAGCAATCGCTCCGGACCCTGCATTGTCTCTTGGACTTCGGGCTCAGAGCAGTCTGCACAAACACCATACCGAGACGGACGGACGGTGTTGAAACGGGGGCGGGATGGATGTCTTGGACACGAGGGCAGCGACACAGCTTCCTAGAAGTTGAAGATGATGGGGCCAACACAGTTTCCGTGAAGCACTAACCTGACAGACATACGCCTCTCCCTCACCTAACTGATCGAAACCTCAGCCGCGGAAAAGAAGATGGTGAGTCCGAAATTCTGCACGCCTGAAACCTGCACCCGAAACCCTAAAGCCCTTAGAAACCCAAACCTGAAATTGCAGAACCTCACGGAACCTAAACCCACACTCAAAACCCTGAAAACCTTAGAATCGCCACCCCACGAAGCCCTAGACCCTAAACCCTCTCCCACATGACATGCTTTGGGGCATTTTTTGTTTCGAGGTCCTCTCTGGCCCGCTTCAACTGATAAGGCCTTCGGCGGCAAAGCTACTTTTCTTTGGGGGTTTTTGGGGGAGCTCCAATGCTTACGGAATCGCGTTGCCGCCGCTGAGGGCTACAGGTCTTGGGCTCAAGGCAGCTACTGCTTCTTGGGCAAGCTTGGTGATTCTGAGGCTTAGGGGCTTAAGGATTCACTGTTTGGATTTAAAATTTATGTTTAGGGCTTCTCGGTGTTTAGGCTGAGGCTTCATGGGCATCTTGAGCATCGGCTTGGGCTTGACTGGTTTTGCAAAAGTTCTCTCGACTTAGGGTTTAATTTCCGCGAGTAACCCTGTCATGTAGGATAGGCTTGTTGGGACATGCTGCTTTCTGGGCTTGAGTTTGGGAGAATGCTCCTTCGCACTCCTTCCGGAAATACAGTAAATACAGAATAACATACTCAGAGACTGCATGGAGGACAAAGGGTTGGGAGAAACTAGTCCTCTTCACAGCTTCACGCGTTGGAATGCGCATTTCGCTCTAAGGGATGTAAAGGGGGGATGGCTGCTGTCGCGGAAGACGTGATTGTACTTCTGCTAATTCTTCCTCTGCCTCTGGCGGTGGTGGTAAGGAAGATGATGGTGATGATGATGATCATCATCATCATCATGGCGGTGATGATGGTGATGGTGATGGTCATGGCCGTCATCATCATCATCATCATTACCAGGATCTTCATCAGCAGCAGCAGCAGCAGCAGATTGACAAGCCGTGAGCCTAAACCTTGGCTTAGCTCCCAAAGAGGTGGGCCTGTAGCCCCTGAACTAAACCCCAAAAAAACGCTCTGACCGCACGTTGTGCCGCGCACGCATAAGACCAAGCATGTTGAGAAGTAGGCAAATCGTCTTTGCGACGGCAAACAGAAGCTCTTACGTCAGGATGATGTTTTATTTCAGCCACATGCTAATGCATTACCTCTTCGGCAGGGTGCCGTTGCGAGAGGAGTTGTTTTAAGCTGCACATCCTTCGCAGCTGCACGTATCCCGTATGGACATTATCATGGTTGGGACATGGATGCTGTGGGAACGGATGGATTCTTATCTGGACGTTGTCATGGCTGGCCCATGGATGCTCTGTGGGATCGGATGGAGTCTGATCTGGACCTTGTCATGGTTGGGACATGGATGCTCTGTGGGATCGGATGGAATTTGATCTGGGAGAACCCTACGCTTAAACTACTGCATGTCCTGTTCTGCAGGGCAACGTCCGGCCTGAGGGCTAAACCCTAAACCCTCCTACTCCCCCCCAAAAAAAAATAAATAAATAAATCCGACACCCAAATGTCCATGCCCGGTAAGCTCAGCACAATCTTTGTGGCGGTGCTCCAGACATTGTGCCCACGTGTTGAAGGCCGAAGGGCCTCGGCTCGGAAGCTGCTAAGGAAAGCCTTTGGACTCTAGGAGACCGGTTTCCATTGCCTTTTTTTATTTTTTGAGGACTTGGGTTTGGGGGTCTGGGTTTTTTTTTGGAGGAGTTGGGTTTGGGGACTTCTGGGGGTTTAGGGGTTTAGGGACTTCGCGGGTTTAGAGGCTCCGGGCCTCTCTAAAGCTACAGTGGGCTCAGGACTGAGGAGCCTTGGGATTTAGATCATCTCTGCTTCACGACTGGATCAGTTCATAAGCACTTAGACTTTGAGCTTGGGCCTTTGGGGGGTTCTTGGGTTCCGCGGCTCACTCGTCCTGCCTGGCCGCAACTTGGGGTTAAGATGTTCAGGGCGGCTCTAGGAAATCGGTGCAGCTGCAAGCGAATGGATTCGGCGTGTTGGGTCTTTTGTCAGGAGGCAGTGCTTTCTGCCAGCTGCAGACTGGTGACAGAACTACATATCAAGGCCACTCTTGCTTGCTTTCGTGGGCCGAACAACATCTGAGCTAGTCCACAGCCCTTCACCCTGGCAAGACTGCACAAGAGCATGAAGACTAGCTGGCTGTGTTGCACGAGGAGATAAGTGAAAGGCAGAAGCCTAGCGCCACTCCCAGATCCTCTCATGTGAAGCCCAAGCTGCTGGTCACTGAGATCAACTTCCCCGATCATGAAGAACTGCTCTTTCCCCAATTTCGTTGCATAACGCCTCAGGAAGTCATGGACGCAGTTTGCTTGATGTTTCGCACTTCCACAGTCTGCTTACCTTGCCGTTTGCTTACACCTTTGGAGCAGACATGTCATCCCTACGTTCCACGGCCTGAGATGTGTTGACAGGAAGGCCGTGAAGTCTGCGGACATGAAACCCACAGAGGACCTCAGCTGAAGGCTTGGGTTCAGGCTTAGAGGCTCTAACGTAGCGGTCTACATGAACAGCTTTATCATGATGGTGGATCACAGTGCGGCCTCCGTACGTTGCAACGAGGGCTCTCTTCATAACGCAAACAGTTCAACTAAGGCTTGGTTCGTGGAGGTTCAACCGAACACTTCGGATACACCTCCAGCCGGCTTAGGGGAAAGGTCTACAGCCGGACAGCTGAGCTGAGAGGTCATCTTGCATTGGGATCGATCAGCACTGGTACTTCTCATCAGTATAGAAGATTCTGCAATGGCAGGCCTTCGCAGCCTCATAAGCCGTGCCTATGCCAGTGTTTTCGCTGTCTGAGCTGTACTGTGTTGTATCTCAGCCCAGGACAAGCGGAGCCCATCGATGTCGGCATAAGCGATCCAATACTTCAGCAAGTTTGTAGAGACCTGGCGCGTGCTGTCGAACGGCAGAAATGCTCCAAGTCAGCACTCTGGACGCAAGCAAGTCGACCGCCTCTTGGAACGCTGGGTTCATAGTGTCCTGGCGCACACAGCATGGGAGCGATTGCAGATCTAGAGGTTTGCGTGCAGGTCCCCGTTCTTCAGGTCCCAAGCCAAACCCAGAAGCTCAGGCCCTGGCAAACTCGATGAGTTCGTCGCCCAAGAAGTCCGTCCAGAGGACCCCAGCCTCCCAAAAAAGCTGAAACTCTTCTAGGCCTCTAGGCTGCTGCTTTCCTTTCGACCGGGTGTTCCTTAAGGGGGTTTCTGAAACTCCACTACAAACTAGGTGTTCACTCTGGGACCTTAAGGCTTCGGCTTGGAGCCTGAAGCCCCTGCACTTCGGAGTCGTCAACGAAAGCCGCCCTGTCGCCCTTTCTCTCATGGCTTGGCTTTGAGACCACGATGCTCAACGCGAGTTTACTCGGGCTGCGACGCAGCATGAAATGGCTCCAGCACGGCAAGATCAGCTTGCTCGGAGAGAGAAGTTTGGTGTGAGACATGTGCGAGGCTATAGTCTCTATAGCCTCGAGAAGAACGTGTCGCAAGCTAAGCAAGTTTGCATGGTATGCTGCACCTTTGTCGTGCCCCTACAACCCAAGCTTATAGGAGAACGTCTTCTTGCAAGTTCATCAAGCAAACTTGCACCTTTGACAACACGGTGCATCGAAAACACCGATGCAAAAGAGCTCTGCAGTCAAACCACACGCCACTTTGTGGCTTCAGCGTAGGAGACCCGCAAATTTCAAAGCCCACATCGCATGCAAAGCAATTTCATTCTCCAACTTTGCCGCGGGTGCGATATACTCACATACCTACATGCATGCATCCATGCATACATACATACAGACATATCGTACAGAGATCGTGCATGCATGTGTTTTGCATTGTAGGTATCTGCAAACGTGTGGGTGTAGGAGTGCTCAAGAGAAGCTCTCACAGGCCGGGGCACGAGGCTGCTGAGGCACCAGGCTTTCTCAAGCCAGTTGCCCTCTGTTCCCCAAGTTCGTCATTCCAGGAGCCATGGTTCCCACCCTTGCACCGTAGCCAGCCATGGTCTGCGCAGGAGATGCACCTAGCAACAGGGGGTCACTCCAAGTCGGTCAATCCGACAAGCAACCGAGCATCAGCCTTGTTGGCTGACGCGTGTAGGCGAGGCGCCCAGAGGCTTCTTCCCAGCCGTCCCACCCGGACTCCCCATGCTCCCCGGACTGCCAACGGACATGCCAGGAGATTGCCTGAGAGCACAGCTGCTTTGTGGTCAGCTTCTCTTCTCGGCAAGCATACTGCAATTACTGCAAGCTGTGACTGTCATTTCCTGCTGGCAGGGGGCGGGTTGTTCGCACGAGGTGGCGTGTAGGGTGCGAACCCGGTCGATTTCACAGGCGCTGCTGGTGAGGGCACGACTGGTGCCTTCCAAATGAAAGCTGACGAGTGCAGACTGCTAGGCTCACTTCTCCCAGCCAGTGAAGCACTCCACCTTCGTGTATCCGACGACGGGCACGTTAAGGACCTTCATGATGTTGTCCAGCTCCGCCTCACATAGACGCTGCATCCGCTATTTTCTACCCAAACCGACAATTTTTGACACGCGTCAACTCTACGCAGCGCAGCAGACGTTATATTTCTCACCCTGCCTGAACAGCCGCCGCCTGATTCTGGAGCTGGGCGGATGTCATCAAGTGACCTCGCAAACACAGACCTAGACCTAGACCTTCTCTTTCTTTCTGGAGACTCTCTGAGACAATCAGGACAAGTCGGGGGATGTTTTTCACCGGAGTTGCTGGGCACCAGAATCAAGAAGGCAAGAGGCTTTCTACCATCTGTCGGTGATCTTGGTGAACCGCTCCATGTCCCGCATTCACATCCTGGCTACCAAAGGTGCAGGACCAGAACTTGAGGCAGCCAGCCACGTTTCGCCACAAGAATTAGGGCACTTCTGGAGCCCATCCTACGTGCCTTCCTGCAAGAGAGATCATCAACACTCTGCTCATTTCATGCAGGAAAACAAGCATGCTTACAGCGAAACACCTCGACTTCGGTGCTTTGGAGCAACCTCTTTCACAGACAGCAGTACCCAGAAGCCCTTGCACTGATCATGTCCGCTTGGCTTCTGAGCTTTAGGTGCATGGCAGTCCATACCGTCTTACTAAAGGTCTCGGGTGGAAGTCGAATCTCTAGACAAGGCTTAGCACCTTGTGCGTGTTCATGATAACGTCCATGATCTGGTTCATCTGTTCGCGCAGCGGTTCCTTGGGATAGAAAAGCGTCACATAGTGTTAACTTCATGCCAGCCCCTGCCCACCAGCCGAGGAACATGGGCATCATGTTTTTGGCCAAGTTCCGATGACTTCCTTGGCTGTCACATGCTGGACTGAATGTCACAGCCGGCCCAGCTTGCCAAGCAGCCCTATTAGAACAGACGTATTTTCCGCTATGTTCTCCAGCATGTTGTGATACTGCTTTTCCTCGGCCGCAGCTGGCAGGCAAACTCAACTAAAGCTCGGCAATGCGACTTATGACAGATGCGACGAATGTCCCGCCTTTCCCAACTGAAAGGCAAGCAGGTCGGCACAGCGGGCCAACTCCCCGCGATACATCAAGATGTCCTTCTATGCTGCTGATGCGGTACCCTGAGTTGCTGCGAGACAGCAACACCGAAATCCACCGATCGACCCGGGCTAGGCGAGCGAAATTCAGTTGCAAGCTTCCGGGGTCTACGAGTCTACACAGACCACAGCAGCCGCCCCGGCCCTGTCCTCCGACATCTCCCGCACCTCGCGCTCAAACTCCAGGCAGACTGTCTCGCAAACCTGGGCCCGAACTTAGGCAGCGGGGCAGATTCACCAGATCTCGCCAGGAAGCATCAGCCATGAACTTGCGGAAGGCGTTGGCGCGAGGTGCGACGTGGTCCATGGCCTCCTTTCGGGAGACTATGCCAGTGGGCATCTTTTTAGCCTTAGCCTTCAGCATCGTGGAAGCGGGCCTGGGTCACGGCAGCCATGACAGCAAAGGACAGCGGGAGCTAGGAGATCAGCTGAGGGACTGAGCACAAATGCCTCGCCTTACACTTTTCCTCTGCTGGCCAATCTTGTGGTTCTGGGCACTGAGGCTGAGCCACAAACTTCTGGCGACCGGACAGGCACAGGCCTCGTACTCCTCACTGTCATGGGGCTCGTTGGAGAAGTCGTGGTTGTTCGGACGGTCCCTCGCAAACACGGCATTCACTAACAGCAGATGGCAAGTCACTTTGGGATCCCGTCATGGTTGCGAATATAGGGCGCCGTGCTAAGATCCATACTGCAGTCGACGGAATTGGAACTGCAACAGAAGCCTCCCTAACACTCGAATTCCTTAGGGGTCCCGACATCCTCTTGGGTCCGCATCGGGCGAAGAACTCCTCGGAGGCTTCAAGGGTGCCAGGTGCTGTGGTCCATGAAAGTCAGAAGAGAGCGCATAACACTGGTACCAGTTCAGTTCGATTCTCTTGCCCAATGCGACAGGACGCGTTGCGCGGACGTAAGAATACTATATAAGGCTTTGCTCACTGTGCCTTACACCCCCCCCCCCGCCCTCGCCCCGCGCTTCTTAATAGCCCCGGTCAGCGCTGGGGGATGATTTCGCGGCAGCTTGCTGGCCGATGCGACTCATCGTACTTCGCAGGCCAGGATCCCAAAACACGCAAAGCATCACAACCCGCCACAACTACCCAGTGAACACTTGGTGGAACTGAAAGCTAAAACCTCTAACTGACTCTAACCATCAAGTCCCAGGCACCCCAAAGACCTTACTGTAACCCCAAGTCAGGTCCTTAAAACAATGTCGAACTTGACCCCCTCCTGGTGGTGCAGATGCCGAGGAAGCACGCCGAAGCTGAGGGAACGCTGGTGCCTGCGACTCTTGGCGGGTGACATACTTGTGTTTAGCTAGGGGCCAGGACGGCACGAGGGTGTAGGAGTCTGTAGGAGTGCCTAGTCCCGGCACACGGCACACGGCGAATCAGACTGAGAGTCGAACGCTCTCGTATACTTCGTTTTTTGGATGCGTGCGGCCGTGCTTGGGCACCGGGCGACCGCTTTGGCTGACCACCACTGGTGTTGCGATAGACCTGGCTAACAGGGGCACGATAGACATTAGACTCCTGCACGCCCCGCACCAGGCTTGGCTGTGGTCTATACTATTTTACACGAGGGGCCATTCAACCATGCCTGGCAAGGAGAACAGCTCACATGCAACAGTCGGCCTCCTCGAAAGAAGCCACGCAGTTGCTGACCTGCGAGACCGGGTCCATGTGGACTGACCTGTGCAGGACTTCGGTAGTTGGGAGTTTGGAACTAAGGGCGTTCAACCCAAAGTAGGCATCCACCCACAAAAGGAGGGTAGTCGAGGATGATATGAGACCCATTACCATCCTCTGCTCATCCTGAGTCCAACGGTCCAACGTCCCGCTACTACGGGCTACGTGCCTGTACTCCAGACCGGTAGCCACTGCATGGTTCACCTGCACATCCAACCTCAGCCCAAGTCGCACACGTCATGGACATACTAGGACCGGACGGCCCCGTGCGAGTCTGGTGCGGCGAGCGTTCTTGGATCCGTGCACTACACGAAGGCCCAGCTGGTGGGCCTTCCGTGAACGAACCGCCCTCCCTTCGCACGCTGCGCACGCTTCGACTTCACGGAGAGCCGGAGTCCAGCCTCGGCAACCAGTGCCTGCAGCAGCTTCGCATCGCCTCGGTCTTCTGGCACCAGGCAAGGAAAAGCATGTCAGCCGCCGAAGTCAAGGGCCCTTTTTGGGGGTCCTCAGCCTAGAGGCCCAGGCCCAGAAGTGGCCAGCAACCCTTGGGCCCTTGCCAAAGCCGGGATCGATCTTGGAGAGATCTGAGATTGAGTAGCCGTGGTACCTGTGGCTTTTTCGCTGTCGCTCTCGCTGTCCGTATCGCACAGTACTCAACTCACCAAGTGAGCTCTGCCCTTATCACACATTCTCAAGTGCGTCAGGCCACTCCCCACCGGAGTTCAGGAAGACTGGCGACCTCGGTTGCATGCTTGACCTTTCGTTGTGTGCTTTTTCCTTGCGAAGGTTGCGAAGTGCAAAGTCCCCCAACAAAAACGACGCCGCTACCATACAAAGGAGCGAGCCCCAAAGCACTGGGTGATGCAGCCGAGCAGCCCTCAACCATACTCTGCCAGCCCAACCATAACCATCTCTTGAATCGAAACACCCTCTCGACCCTGGGGGCAGCACAGGGCAACCACCGTGGCACCCAGGTGCTTCATGTAGCTCAGCCTGCAGGTTGCACGGACAGCCCCTACACCTACAGCTCGACGATGACGACGACGATCTAGACAACTACTTCCTCTCCTACTGATTCTACTACTTCTAGAGCTTCTACAGCTTCTACTGCTGCTGAAACTGCTACTGCGACTGCCACTGCTACCACTATCACCGCCACCACTGCTACCACTACCACTACGACGACTGCAACTGCGCCTGCGACTGCCACTAAGACGGCTGCTAAGACTACGACGAAGAGAACAACACGACGAAGACGACGACGACGACGACCATAAGCGCTACGACTACCGCTAGCACGACCACCACCACCACCACCACCGCCACCACCACCACCACCACCACCACCACCACTATGACGAGACGAGGACGAGGACGACGACTATGAGTACTTCGATTGTGGCTTTCTATATCGTAGCTACTGAGAACTCCGCTATCTCTACCTTAACTCTCTGCTCAGGTGAGCTGAGGCCAAGCGGTCCCAAGCGGGTGCACCTTCCAAGTATTCCGAGCAAGTCCCCACCTCAAAAGCAGGGATCATAAGCAGAATTTGGTGCAGGAGATGCAATGCAGCCTAGGTTTGCGCGGAGACCGGCAGTGTGTTGAAAGCGGTGGCGCTGGGACGACGACACTCGAAGATCAAGGCTACAAACTACGAAGATTACAGCCACAGTGCACACTTTCCACATGCTGCAACCCCGAGGCACAAGTCATGGCCATGGCAATGTTTAAGCCACGCGCCATGCCGCCACTGGTAGAGATTCCAGGGCTCCCCTGACTTTAGATCCTTGCATCGAGTTTTGCTGAAGATGCGGCCCCGGCACATGCTTGCTACTCTATGCGTCGTGGTGTTCCTGCTGTGGAGATGCTGGATGTATGGCTCAGAGGCTTTGTCACTCTCCCTGTCCTGCTTCTGATAGTGCGGGATGTTGTAGAGGTCGTTCGTTATATCTCCATTCGCAAACCTGTCTACCATGACGCTGTAGACCACCTGCACCGGGACTCTGATAAACAGCTGGAAGGCAAGTGCGCCCTCCGAGGACATGTTGCGCAGAAAGAAGGGCAGCGATCTTCGTGCAGTCCGTGACGGCCACGGAGCCTCGCTGTTCCAGTCCTCCGGCGATGGCATTCGGCGCAGTCCTGCTTCCCCGAACCTCGGAGGGCTGCTGGCTACGACTCCGGCGACTCCAACTCCTACTGCTCCCGAGCGACTCCGATTCCTAGCTGCCGGTTCCAGGGTCCAGTACGACCACTACTAATGGCACTCACAGCGTGGTACTGCCACGTCTACTAAGCAAGTCTGCTGTCGGTCGGACGTCCATTCGCAGGCACATCGCTGCGAAGGCTCAGCTGTACAGTGGCGATGCGAGCCTTCCCCATTGACTGAACTTCGACGACCAATCTAACTGCAATGGCTAATGTACTGGTGTAAGCCTTCAGAATAACAACGAGCAAAAAGAAGAAGAACAAGCAAAACAACAATAGCAAGAACAGGAACCAGACAAATAAAAAGAATAACACGAATAACAATAACTCCACGGTGGTGCTCCTAGCGAGCATGCAGCACTGGCAGAGCCTGCAAGACTATTGCTCCACGTGAAGAGTCAGAGCCATCTGCAGAGACCGTAGCGGTGTAGCAACAGTAAGAAGTTCTTGTGGAAAGGCCTGCAGAGGCCACGGCCCCGGACCAGCGAGCTGCTCAGCGAACTCGGTTGCTTCTCTGCACACGGCCGGGTCGGCTCCGGTCGCAGCTCCGATCGCATTTACAAGGAGTTGCTTTTGACTTCGTTTCACCAAGACGATTGGAGTTGCTGCCGCTGAATAAAACAATTGTATGGGGAGCACCCAAAAAAAAACCGAAAAGCGCCGCGCATGTCGCGGGGGGCCCAGGGGGAGACTCGGCTCTTGGACTGCAAAGAGCCGGAAACTGGTTGAGGCTCAGTGGAGGAGGCTTTCCCTCACTCCCCAACCAAGAAGAGGTTGGGAGATGTTGCTCGAAGCCGGGCTTGATGCGAAGCCTGGGCTCTCAAAGGCACGGAGGGGCGGAGGCTACTACACTAAGCGAGGCTCAGGCCTCAACTCGCCCTCTGACTGGGTCCTAACGTGAGGGAACCTACAAAGCATCGATCAAATCCGAGGGTGTCCTCCGAGAAACTCGAAGCAGCGCGGCAACCGGCTGCTGATGAATGGTGGAGGCCTCGCAGGCCGACTGCACGTCGTCCAACCCTAGACACTTCAGCGAGGGAATCCCTCCTCACTGTACTTCACGGGCTGGAATGATCACAATTTGAATCACAACGGTAAAGACTCTGTGTTGATGACACCATCTCGGCGCGAGTACGACATGTTGCATTCGAGTAGCCATGATCAACACCGAACGCTCTACATTCTCGATGGGGTTCATGTTGTCTTGGATCACCGTCTCTGTCACCTTGGCTAGGCGACATAGTACGAAACCCTGGCGAGTGCAACTCTCTTCTGGACGGCTCGGGGCCTGCAAGGTGGGGACGATCAACAAAGGAACCCCATCAAACAGAGCATCACTAGCCAGAAGCATGACCCGTCTCATGCTCATACCTGCTCTAAGCCTGCACAACACGATGCGCAGTCCGAAAGGACCAGTAGTAGGGCTTGTGCGAAATTCTGCTGCTCATACAGCTCCCATAACTCTTGTTCGTCCCCCTCCTGCTACTTGGTTCGTCTTGGTCGTCGCCGTTGTCGTTGTCGACTCTGCTTCTGTCCTCGTCCTGTTGCTACTGCTGCTGCTTCTCCTACTACTACTACTACTACTACCACCACCACCACGACGACTACGATTACACAGCGCGACCGCATCTGTGACCACAACCTCGACCACGACCCCAACCTCCGCCACCACTCCTACTGCTGCTCCTACTCCTACGCCTACGCCTACGCCCACGCCTACGTCTACGCCTACCCCCATGCCTACGCCTACGCCTGCACATGCGCCTACGCCTGCGCCTATGCCTATGCCTACGCCTCCTCCTACTCATACTGCGACTACTACTACGACTACAACTACAACTACAACTACGACTACGACTACGACTACGACTACGACTACGACTACGACTATTACTACTACTACTACTACTACTACTACTACTTCTGCTTCTGCTTCTGCTTCTGCTTCTGCTTCTGCTTCTGCTTCTGCTGCTTCCGCTTCTTCTACTACTACTACGACGACTACTAC